ATTAATTTGTCAAATATGAATTATAAAGCTGTAACATTTCATAATTCAGGACACACTCAAATACTAGGAAAAATAGCTACAAGAGCCTAAATAAAAAAAAAAAGCATTTATTCCATTTTTGACAGCTTAACGAATGCCCTACTCTTTTGCATTGATTTTTGTGTGTATGTGTGTCTGTGCGCGTACATGTGTGCCTGGGAAGGATTTCTCATGGGGTTTGCTGTAAACAAGGAAAGCTAAATCCTCTGCCAAAGCTTCTTTTTCAACCATTAAATAACCTCCATATTAAAATATTTCAGGAGAGAATATATAAAAAAATACTGAGAATGCAATATATAAAGGACAACTACTTACACCTCAGCAAGTACACTGGCAATCTGTAGAACAAGACATTAGACAATAAAATACCTTGATGTGGTAAAACAGTCACAGAAGTAGTATATGTTAATTCCTGCTTTTTGGAAAATAGCAGTAAATTCAAAGAACATGGTCAACAAAGCTCAAAAAATCTCAAATTCATGATTGATTGCAGAAGACAAATTTTCCTTACACACCTAAATGCTCATCTTGCAAGGCAAAGTGCATTAATAAAGTCTGCAAGGACCTAGATAGAAAAATAATGCATCTTAAAAAGAACTGCACCACTTAGAATTTCTAAATGCTTCAACTTGAAATATTCTGGCCAGTTAGATCTCTGCTTAATGTTTTCCCTGGTTCTGAACATCATGAGCTATATATAATTTAAATGGAGATTAATTCTTCCATTTAAAGTGCTTTAAAATAATTCCGCCTATGATCTTGAGCTCTCAGCCCAGCGTCTCCACAGTGCCTCTTCTCCAGTTTTCCTTGAGCTACCTAAGTGGAACTGACAGATCACTGCTCAGATAGCAGCCGTATTCTTCCCCCAAAATGTTGCCTTTTTGCTATTCAGGAGTATCCTAATACCAACAAATGCTAAATGAAGTCTGACATGTACCCCTAAGAAACAAACTTGTAAGTTGTAGCTTCAAAGGAAACCTTGAATAAATAAGACACATTGTGTACACCCAGGCTAACATCCAACATATGCTTTAGTTTCCCGATGCCGAGACAGAGCAAGAATAGCCCCTGGTAAAGCCTGTGATTTGCTAGTGCTGGTACTTGCAACATTCATAATGTACCTTTTTTTTCTTTTTTTTTTTTTTTTTTTAGGCTGTATAAACAATTTTTAAAATGTAATTAAGACCACAGCAACATTTCAGAACAAAATATATTAATGAATAATGGATTATCTGACACGCCACTAGTTTGATCCACAATTACAAACCAAAGCAAAGATCTTTCCTCTGCAAAAGAACATTGCCACCAGTAAGTCATAACTGGACAGGTGATTTTATCAAATTAAAAAGTAACTGAAATAATGAATGCATTTAATTAGCATCATAGAATCATAGAATAGTTAGGGTTGGAAAGGACCTTAAGACCATCTTTGGTGGTGGCGACCAACATGCCTAACAGTGAGACACTGCTGGTAAGTGCTATTAGCAACTACAGATACAAAGAAAACATGGCAGAGACAGAAATAAAAAAAAGCAAGAAAGCAAGATAAAATTACATGTAACTACACATACAGATCAGATAGGACGCTCCATTCCTAAAGGGCCAATTTATTTATTTAGGGAAAACAGAGAAGGGATGGGAAGAGAAAATAAAGATATAACCTACTTTAAGACTTTACCATTATTTAATGCTCTATTTTACGACTAATCCTTCTGAAAGGCCTAAAAGGAGTTTAATTCAATCTTATAATTCCCTTCTCTATTTTAATTTCCTTCTCCTTTTGTCCTCCACTCCTCAGTTAGTGCCAAGATGGGGCAAGATAAGAATTGATTTAACACTGTAGTTGGAAAGTTTTTATTCTGGACTAGGTTCAGCCTCAAAGCACCCAAATGTATATTATAAACTCACAAGTGCGGTATTTTAGTTCTTCAGTACTGCTTTATCCTAGGAAATTGAGGGTTGATGGAGCTTTGAGAGGTGTTTTAATTTTTCTTGCTGCAAATTACCATTTCTTTACATTCTCATCAAAATGTGGATAACTAAGTTGCAGTCTTCCAAGGAAAACACAGTAAGTCCAGCTATCCTAGCATGAACAAGTAGTTTCAGTGGCGGCAAAGCTTCAAGTCTATTTTTGATTCTCTCACCAAATATACCCGGAAAGTCCTGCTAGCATTGACGCTCTTCCTCTGAGGAAGAATCATCAAGATTCTCTGCCCAATTTCATGAAACTTGATGAATGAACAGAGCAATTACGCTACCTTCCTTCTCCACTAAACTGCTGTACAATAATTGGTACATTTCCTTTTATTTTTTTTATTTAATTTTATTTTACACTTTGTTTACAATATGCAGCTTGTGCATTTGTTTCTTATTCCTTAGGAAGGCAACAAACCCATCACAGATATCCCTCAGGCATGCAGAACTTCAAGCTGTATTATTGTACAGATGTTTTCCCTAAAAGACCACATGCTATATTGGTGCTGAATATTTAGATCTATTCCAACACTATTTAAAATAATTATTTGTCCAAGAAAACTGAAGACTAATTTTAAGACTACCTTGTAAATGCATATCTTTGGAATGCTGGGGTAGAAAATAGCTATGATACATACAAACCATTTATTTAATCAGAAAAAACTTCAATAGATTATAAATAGATTTCAAGTCACAGTGCTCTTATGGGAAGTGTAATTACAGTTAAGAGAACCACTTCGTTCTTGCATGCTCTTGGGATCCCTTAGACCGTTTTAAGTTACGTTTGATAGTTATGATAATGAAAAAATAAATCTGAATTACTTCTCTGTATGCTATTTACAGCAGCTCTTGCTACAGTACAGAAAAAATACCACATAAACCCATACCAAATTTTGCTCCTAAATAACCTATTTCCTCTAGACCTTAAAAATCAGGTGGAGAATATGCACTCTCCATCAGAGATAAGTAAAAATCAAGTCCATCCTTTAAATCTCGCCCTACTTCCAAATAAGAATCTGCACATATCTGATGCCACACATGTATATATATTTTTTTTTTTCCATTCTCCTGGGCTCTGTACAAGACAACTTGAAATTATCAACATATGCTTCCACTAGAAGCCATATAAATACCAACTCCAGTGTGTTTCAAGAGTCCTGCCTACTTCTTCCCAGTACAAAAGCCCCTATTGATAAGCTGATGAAAAGTGTAAATGCAGTACTAAAAAGGGAAAAGAACTACCTTTACAGTCAATTTTGTGTGAAGGCCTTTCTGACTGCCAAAAGGTCAGAAACTGCATCTCCAGGTAAAACTAACTAGAACTGTAGCAGTAAGTAAATCAGTATTTAAGCTATTTGTTCTTCAGAGAGTTCCTCCAAGACTGCAAGAAATCCATGGCTTTTTGCCCTATCTTGAACACATTTGACGTTTTGATATTACCTAGCTGGCCCCAATACCAAGAAAGTTTTACCAAACTTTCTGTCTTGGAAGGGAAGAGGAAGAGGACTGGAGAAGGAGGAATATCAATCTAATTAAAAATACATTGTGAAACAGATACAAGTCTGCTGTAAAGAAAAGATACTCCACCTGTGAGACAGGCCGTGAGACAGGCCAACATGACCAAATGCAGCAAGAAAGAAATTATGATCATGTACCCTGGTACTCCAGCTTCAGCAGTGAGCTTTCCAACATTTAGAATGTGTGTAAGTTCACTGCTTTTTAAATACTGTTTGGAGATGTAACTTGCATGACATTAGAAAGTATTGAGATCATACAATCACAGAATGGTTTGGGTTAAAGATCACCTTATTCCACCTCCCTGCCATGGGCAGGAACACCCTCCACTGTTTTTGAGCCTCCAGGCTCAAAGCCCTGTTCAACCTGGCCTTGAACACTACCAGGGACGGGACAGCCACAGCTTCTCTAGGCAATGTGTGCAAGTGCACCACCCTCACAGTAAAGAGCTTCTTCATAATATCTAATCTATGTCTCTGTCAGTTTAAAGTCATTAAACCATGACACCCTGTCACTACTTGCTCTTATAAAAAGTTACAGCAATTTGGATAAAGCTCAAGGTACCTCTACCTCAACACAAGTCCTAATATTCCAGAGAAGCAAAGTTTCTGTAAAGTAAGCCAACTAAACCTTCTCCAATTTTGCATTACAAACAAAGAGTGACACTCTTTCCAAATGTGAACACATGAATACTTTCAAACATGAAAACTGCTATTTCTAGATGACTGCAATGAGTTCTATTAAATCATCATTCTATTTTGAATGAACACCAAATGACTTGCAGAAAGCATCTTTATTTTCTTCCACTCAAGACACTGAATTTGTGTAAGTGTTAAACACAAACATACCTAAAACTAACAGATAAAATAGATTAAATAACTCAAGCTGGAGGCATTTTTCCTCTTATGAATTTATAACCCTTTATTTAAAAGGGTTTTCACAGAAAGCACTCATGTCTTATAACTACCTCTAGTATTTGATTATAATTACAATGAATGCTGCCTTTGTGGCAACCAATTCCACCGATACAAAAAGTAACTGATCCTCCAGCCAATGCAGCCAAGAATCAGAACCAGCAGCCACATCATCCTGACAGGGTTGGAGTTATTTGCACAGTGAAAGTGCTATAGCAAATCATTTAACATTTTCTTGTCTTACGATACCTCAGAAGTGTACAGCAAAACCATGCACAGCCACAAAGTTGTGGGGAACCGCTAAACACTAGAATGCTTTCACGCACCAGTATACCTACCAGCCAAGAAAGCTAGTATATTTTCCCCTACATCCAGTAAGTTACTGTCATAAAAAACAATTTATCTACCAAATCAATGCTTATGAGAGGCACACTGAATCCTTCAAGTTGTTCTTCCCTTTAAAAAGTCAACATATGTGATCTACAGTTGCATACTTCTGTTTCTCCCCTCTTAAAACACAGAGTAGTACAATAATGAAAGCACAAAAGGGCAACATACCATCATAGTAGACAATAGCTCCGACAAGCTCATCTTTGCGTAGCATTGGGAAATGCTCCAAGGCTCTTGACTTGCTAAGGACATAACTACTTTTCAGACACTGACTTCCTGCTACGAGGTCATATAATTTTATTCCAAACCAGTAGTATGGCAACTGCCACCATCTGCAGGAAACAACAACAACAACAAAAAATCCCCATGAAGTGAACTAAAGTTCATGCACACACTTGTTATGACACAGAACACATTAAGTAACACAGTATGTTGTAGTACACCACTTTCGCTTTGTACCATCATAAAAGTTCGTAGTATTGCAGTATCATGCAAATATGTAAGAACTTACATATTGTTTGCTAGTGGTTTCAACTGATCTATTCTCTGTAGTTAGTTAAGCAGACTCAAGGCTTTATTTATCCTAGAATTATAATCACAAACTGGCTTTATGTACTTCAGTGTAGGGTGAGATATTAAAGCTATGTGTTGAGGGGAGACCCTGGCTGTTTGTCAAGCTGAAGGGGTTCCTTAAATGCACGTTAGTCAAGAGACTAACACCTCCTGCACAAACACGATCAAATAAATGCAGTCAACTGCTGGCTGACATGAGCTCCAGCTATTATGAGCCCCTCCTCTACAAAGACAGGAATAAAGCCATACACTAAGATCATTCAGCAAATACAGCTCCAAGTAGCCTGTTACAGTAACTGTTCTTAGAGATCTGAAAACCTAACCCAAATAACTTAGTCTCTTTTTTGTAGCAGAAGAAAACTATTCTCTCAACATCCACCTGTCATGCGCTATAGAAGGCAAGTGCACAGAATTACTGCACTGAGCACTGGTGGCTGCATGAACTAAACAACGCATTACTAAGAACACTAAGACAGCCTGTGTTGAAGACGAGTATGTACTAGAAAGAACAGCAGAAAACATACTGGGAATGAGAGTCTGCTCCACCAACAAGCACCCCCCTTCCCCTTCCTGCAGGGTGGCAGGAACGCAGCAAACAGCTCAAGTCCAAAATGGGTTACTAGGCAGCTGGGATAGCTGCTTGGTTCCTGAGAAAATTTCATGCCTCTACAATATTGTAACATCTCACCTCCTGAAGGACAAAGCTTGTGACAGGTTTAAAGACATGCTTGGAAAGAGGCGCCCAGAGACTTCTCCAAGGAAATAGCTTGCTTGTGAAAAGCAATGGTAAAGGAGTGGTATTATAGCAGAGCTTACTTGTAAACAGGCAGCATTATTGGCAAAGGAGATGACAGGTGAGGAGCTATTTCAAGCAGATTTGCACGCTCCTCAAGTGCTTCTTTCACCATCTTGTACTGAAAAACACAAGTGCACACGCAAATTCCATGTTACTCGGTTTTGTTTCCATGTGCAACATTTAATAAGAAACTGTTTATCAAAGCGAAGAACTCCCACAATCCTTACTGTTCTTTCAAAACCATACTGAGATTTGCTGAAAAAAAAAAAAAAAAAATCAAAAATTAAGGAAACTATTTCCCAAGAAAATTAAGTTCCACTAGTTTCCTTTTGGTGTCTTGGCAGGTCAGCTGAGTAACTTTTCATCTGAACGTAAAGAGCATTAAAGCTGTGTTACTCCTAACTATAAGCAGAAGGTACATGAGAAGGGCTAGAATTCATTCTAAAGTAGATCTTGTGGGACATTCCCACAGTTAAATCCCATACTAATGCTGAGTTGCAAATGCAAAAGTGTTCTTCTCCAAATCAATCAATATGAATCAATATTAAGTTATTCTTTGGCAAAAACAAGGTTAATTTCTGTAGCTGGGTAGCTCCATGTTTTATATATTTTTCCCTATCAAGTCACTGTTTCTGTAGCAGTATTATAACCATCAAAACATACTTTAGGTCACAGAGGTTTCAATGAGAAGATCAATCATTTTATCAAAACAAGAATATCATGCTTCCACAAGAATACATAAAACCGCTTATATATAATCACTCACCCATTTTCTTTCCACATTCCAAAATAAATCACTCATTTACCATATTTTCTTTACCCATTTCAAAATAAACAGGACAATCACTCACTCCCTGAAAATTCTAAACATACAGGTAAGATGCTCCTTTTATTATGAAACCAGCCCTGTCTCTGCCTGCCTTCCCCAAACTATACACAGTCTACAAGCTATGGCAATTAGATTGCCCATAAAACAATTTAGCAAAAGGCAGCAGCACCAATTTCCCTAGTCTGGGAAGCTCAACTGAAGAAAGCACTTTCTATGTACAGTGGCTGGAGAATAAAACAGTCAAGTATTAAAAAAATAAAAAGGAGACTTGGATATAATTGGGATAGGGGAAGTATCTATTGGCAATTTTTGCGTAACAACCAGCATAAACAATTACCTGCTCAAAATCCAACTTCATGATGGCCTTCTGAAGATATCTCACTCCACCATGGATCAATTTAGTACTCCTGCTGCTGGTCCCTGATGAGAAATCATCTCTTTCTAGAAGGGCTGTTTTTAGTCCTGTGTTACCAGAAAACCAAATTAACTTCTTAAATTACACAATTTGTATGTAATTCATTAAAGACACTTCTCTAGGGTAGAGACAATCACAAGAAAAATTACTCTGTACATGGATAAATTTGTATTCAAAGTGTAGTGCACTGTCTATATCGTAATGAAAAATTTTAGCCTCCTTCCTAAGGGAAAAGTCAAAACAGAACTTAAACAGAAGCACATTAAAACCTGGATATTTCACAATAGAAAGGCATTACAGTACATTACAGGGGCCATGCTCCCTCAAGCAAATTATAGTTCATATTCATGGCAGGAGCAGAATATTTTCATGAATACTTTTAACTCTTTGTAGCAGAGAGCTCTAAACCAGTCACACTAACAAATGTCGTACAAGGGAGGCAGCAACTGTCATCCTTGCCTGCTTACTTATAGTCTGCTAGAGGTACTCAAAACTGAAGTGTAGCAGCTCACAGGCACGCTCACCACTCAGGGAAACCTCAGCGAAGGAACATGATGCTCACGTACACAGAATTCTGCCATTCACATGAAATAGTATGATAAGGTTTAATATGAAATATAGTAGCTTACCTAGGAAGTATAGCAAAATGAAGAAGCAAGTTCAGCTACAGTTTACTATGCAGATACTACATATAGCTCACAAACATCCTCCTTTTAGGCGTTACATATGCAAAGGGCACACATACACAAAACATGAGTTGCAATATATCACCAAGTATTTCAGAAAAACATTTACTCAAAATAATGTGAGCATATTCCCTGGCAGAAGCCAGCACTGACAGTTTGACCAGCTCAAGCAGGGGGTAACACATGGCTCACAGATGTTCACATGAATCCAGAACACCAAGTGCTTCATAACCAAACAGTATAAAGCTTATTGCACCAAACACTTGGAATGCTGCTGGCATGTTTGCTGGCATGTTTGTTGCATATGTCATGTTCCCAGTCACCCTAAAGGACAGGAAAAAGCTTTCACGGGTGAAGGCACACTGCTTCATACAGAAATTGCTAAGAAACTATATACCCCAATACTGTAAGTGCTGGCATCCTCTTTGTGAAGGAGACTGACATCAGGTTATATGATGGAAGTTCAGTCACGGGAAGAGTGGCAGTGAAGAGATTATTAACAGATGCCTTTTAATGGTATGACACAGACAACGGTCACATCCTTTGGTACATACCTACAAGACACCCACCACTGACTTCCAATATCCAATGTAAGTAAACACAACCAAGATAAGCACACCAGGATAAGTGCATGGTAATCTTTCACTTAAAACACATGTGGAAGGACAATCCCTGTTACAGAAGTTGGCGTAACAGACTCCCTCTATCACTGGCAGAATTTTTGAGATAAGCAGGCAAGGAAAAAAAAATATATTAAATTCAGTGATATTGCTACCAAACAGCAACAGCACAACAAATACCCAAGAAAGGGAGCATCATCTGCTCTAGAAGTTATTCCCTGGGTCTTTCTTTTGTCCTCCTTGAGGGATGGTGCATGTTACTGGTTGGTGAACACACATTTTAACATCTTTTGGTCGCCCAAAACTTTTATGTCCTTAAAAAAAATTTAATTATTACTGGTAACTTCTAAAGATCAGAGTAATTTATTTTTGTCAGATGTGACTGAAGATTAATGGATACAATCAGAAATAATTTGGCGAAGATATATCAAACACATGAAAAGCAAAATTTGTTGTTAAGTGAAGCAAACATAATAAAAGAGCAAGTTCCATGAATGAACAGCAACAATACACAATTCATTAACCAAATGCCTAGGAATATTTTACACTTCAGAAGTCTACTGATATAATCAGACTATCTGGTAAAAGGATGAACAAAGATCAACTATAATAATTTCTGTATACTTTACAATTGCATGTTTCATAATATAGCTGAGGCAGAAGTGAAAAGATCCCAAGTTATATTTAATAATATACAGGAAAAAATCAACCAAGTACAAACTCAAATCTGGTTGTTTATCCTGCCAATGGTGCAGACCTTCCTTCTTTACTATCTCAAAATGATCACACCTTTCGGACAAGTATTTTCCAAATCGAACTACAAAACACCCATGGTGTTAGATCTTGACTCTTTATTCTGAGGTATACATACAGGTTAAAGAACCTGAAGAATTTTATGATTATCTACTATATTTTACACTGCATTTTTGTTTTTCAATTTTGGTACATAACCCACAAACAAGATCTACAAACATAGAATATAAAGAAATTTGGTTCTCTCTCTCATTGGCTCACTGTCCTGGAAATGACAACCAAGAAAACATGTTCCCAGACAAGCTTTTCTCAAAAACTCTTTTACATAGCTTTTTGAATAAAAATACGTTACTCGGGGGGAATGCAGCATTTTAGTAGAACAGGAGTTGATGCTACAGCCTCAATACCCATGGCGTGCTCCTCTCCATATCTGAAGATCTATTTTTCATTAAAACTTGTGAAATGACTTATTCTCTTTGAAAACTGTCAAATCTGATTGAACTTGCTGGCCAATTTCAAAGTTACTGTGTGAGGTGGATGACACACACAGAGTGGGCATTAGTGTCCTGCTTTTTCAACCCCTGAACAGAGCTTTTCACATGTCCAGCCAACTGCATGAAGTACAGGGCCCAGTAGATGTGCAGATGTTGCAACAACTGACTGCCACCACACACATTTTCAACTTCCTGTACAAGTCAGGTAAAAAGCGTTAGCTTAAACTCATTTCACCTTGAGTTAAAGCTACATGTAAAGTTAAAATCAATTCTGTTTCTTCTAGTACCAGTTATGCAGCTAATCCCCCCAAAACAGGAAACTGGAGCACAGATTCCACCTGTACCTTCAGACTGAATGGTGATAGCATCTTTCACTAAAAATCAAAACAGAATTCTCCAAACCTGTCACATACTGAGCAGCTACAAAGCATTAGCAGAATTTGCAGGTATCTCTCATGTTATAAGAAATACAAGCTGGAGAGCCACTGTGCCTCATATAGAAATCATGCTTGGCCCTTTAAAAACAGTTGCTAAAAGCATTGTGCAAGTCTTGCATTCTTTTTCCAGCAATTTTTTTCTTGAACAAACAAGTGATATGGGAACCCACTAAACAAGGAGCAGCAGAGAATAAGAAACCATCCAACAGCACCCAGTATGTTAGAAAACTGCATACAAACACCTAGACAATAAAGACCCTGATGAAAAAAAAAACAAAATGCAGTTATTTTTTTCTTCAAGTTCATTTTAGCTTCTGAGCAAAGGCTGTTTATAACCAGGCATTCAGAGTACACCTTCTCTATCTCCGAGTACTTCTGAAAAGCCAATTTGATAAACTTACTTCAAACCGTGTAATCCAAGAATAAGAATAAAACTACATTTTCTAGCCTTACCTCTAGTGACTGCATCTAAAGCACAGCCACATCCTGTTGCTCCTCCGCCTATAACAAGGACATCAAATTCACTTGTGGTCTGCAGTGTCAAAATTTGTTGCTCTCTTGTGGGGAGATGACTCTTCATTGGAACAGGCACAGCTTCTGCAGCCTGAACATTCACAAGGGTACCCTACAAAGATTAAAACCACACGTGAGGATCTGTATTTATTCTGTATACACACACATGTGTACACATACACAGAACCAAATCAGAGCATTTTCTATAACCATAAATGTTACAAATATTCCCAGTTGCTTTACCTATATTTAATAAAAATATTGTATTGAAACATTATGGAGCAACAAACAGTACTAAACACATAAAGTGCTAGCACACAGACTTCACCTTGCTTGCTTCAATATAAAGCTGTAGTCAAGGGCTACTACCTATATTAATGTTTCAAGGAATTGTCCTCTGCTATGTCAAGTGTTACAGGATGCTCATGAAGCAGTTTAATAAACAGACACATGGTTAGGCTCTCAACTCACTACCCAAAAAAAAACATCAAAGCAAAGGACTTAAAGTTGAATGTACATTTTATATTTCAAAATTGATTACTTGTACAGTGGCATTAATCTAAGCTCAGATTTGCTCAAGTTCATGAGACTGTGTGGTTTGTTGTGAAACAGTGTTATTGAAACACCAAAGAAACACTGTTTCCATGTCCTTTTTGAAAAGCTTCCAAGCAAAGCAATTTATGTCCTACAGCATGGTAAAATACAACTGTCTTTAAAGCGACAAAACTTAATAATGGGGCAGTTTCCAGAGAATTTCAGATTTTACTGCAATGGCTTTGATAATGTCTCTAGTCCTCTGCCTGATACTCCCGGAGCCACCTCTGCTCTCCATTTAGTGACGGTGGTGAGAAAGGCTACCATTCTTGCTCCATCAAGTAACAGGGACTATGGTTTAAATTTTAAGGTTTTAATCAGTTTCTGAAGGCTGTCTTCTGATAACATGAATTTAAAGTGTATCCTGAAAACCCTTACAGCCTCTATTAACAATCATATATTTCTTAACCTATATTATGAGCACCACCACTGTAAACTTACACAAATTCAAGTGACAAAATAGTACTTTCTTACTATCATCTAAAATAATTTCTTCGTCTAATCTCTTTCCATACGCTGCTTACAACATGCAAGCTCTTTCAATTAAGTTTTTATTTCCAAGTATTCCTTAGGGAAGCTGTTTAGTTATTTCTGTAACTCTATTGCCTACTGCATGGTTAACAGTGAATTACAATTCCCACAGAACAGCCCCTAAGCCCAGTCCCATGCTCCAAACACACCAGAGCACAGGTGCTGCCTCAGTGCTTTATGGTTGCTTGGCCCATGTTGTGTCTCCTAGAGGGACACTCCCAGATCACTGTGGTGACTAAAAGCTCTGCTAAAATAATCCACCACCTCCAGGTTTTAGGAACTCCAGCCACCTTCCCCGGCATGTGCAATGGGGAGGGAATATACACCTGCCATACGAAAACAGCCTGACTGACTGTCGTGGTTTAAACCCAGTCAGGTAACTTGTTCACTCACTCTCCCCCTTCTTTCCCTACCCCTACTCCCGGAGGGACGGAGAGGAGAATCAAAAAGAATGCAACTCCCACGGGTTGAGATAAGAACAGTTTAGTAACTAAGGTATAACACAAATCACTACTGCTACCACCAATAACAACAATGATAAAGGAAATAACAAAGGAAGAGAATACAACACCTCACCACCAGCCGACCGATAACTCGCCCCCCCAGCCTGACCAAGCTCTGACCCATACCTCCTTCAACCCTGCAGTCTCCCAGCCCTTCCGGCTAACTCCCAGTTACATCCCGGGCATGCCGTGCTGTAGTATGGAATACTTCTTTGGCTAGCTTGGGTCAGGTGTCCTGTCTCTGCTTCCTCCTGGCTTCCCCTCCTCCCTGGCAGAGCATGAGGCTCACAAAGTCCTTGGCCAAACCAAAACATTCTTGTTATCAGCTCTGCTCCCGAGCCGAAAGTCAAAACACTGCACTGCACCAGCTACCAAGGAGGAGAAAAATGACTGCTACTGCTGAACCCATGACATTATCCACCCCTTATTCCATACCATTCACGTCACGTGCAGATCCCACATTTCCAATATACTCTTATCTTAGTGCATGGACCAGTAGCTATAAAGCTGCTGAGTCCATCTGGTCCATGATGTCAGGCTCCATCTCTTGTAACAGTCAGAGCAGGAGAGAATGTGTGCAGTGTTCACACTCATGAATAACCTGGGCAATAGTGTCCATTGTTAAGTCCACCCCTAGATCTTGAGTCCATCTCTATGTTGCATCTCTGCTCTGATGGTCTGAAGTGCCATGGGCCCATCAGGCTTAAAATAATTCACTGTCCCCTTCAGCAGTTTCTGCAGCTTGCTGATGGGGACTCCATACAGCTGCCTTCCATCTCCGACACTTCCAAAGCACTGGAGGGGCCCAGTGGACTAGATACTTGCCCATACTGTCACACATGCCCTGCCACTCATGACTGTCCAGCCTTGGAGAAGACCTCTTGGTCCCCTGCATCGTCATCTAACCCCAGACAAGACCCAAACCTGACTCTGCTTAACTTTTGAGATCAGACAAAATGGTTGTGGGTAGAACACAGTCTGTGTGTGTGCCAACATGCTGATCCCCATCACAATCAGCAGGCAGGTCCCAAGGACACCCAAAGGCCATTCAAAACCTTCAGAACTCTCAAACGATGCTGCTGTACTTGTCACTGGGGCTGGTGTAGCTGCTGTGCTTGCCGGCTCTCCCACCGCCAGCTTCTCTTTTCCTGAGTCCAGCTCTTCCTCCTCTGCCTTGCTGGGAAATGCTGCGTGGTCTCCTGCATCCTCCTGGGGCTCGGCGGGCGGCTTCCGGGGAATGCTCTCGGACGCCGCGGGGCTGGGCTCGGCCGCGGGGCTCGGCTCCTCCGCGGGGCTCGGCTCCTCCGCGGGGCTCGGCTCCTCCGCCGCCTTCTCCCGCTGCTCGGCAGCCGCTTCCTTCCTCTCCTCGACCGCCCCGACCTCCTCCACCGGCAGCCGTTCCCTCGCCGCCTCCGGCCCCGCTCCTGCCGCCGTTTGGTCCCCGGGGCCGCTCTCCCGGGCCGGTTCGGCTGCCGCTGGCTCCAGGGCCCGCTCCCCCTCGGCTCCCCGCAGCCTCACGAAGATGGAGAGTAGGGTGAGGGCCAGGCCGGTGAAGAGCAGCCGGACGGCCAGGTGCAAGTCCACGGCCACGTCCGTCCCGCCCTGCTGCTGGATCCCCCCGGTATTACAAGTCATTGCCATAAAGCACAGTGAGACAAGAACCTTATCCCAAGCCCCACACTTGATAAACACTAATACAGCAAATACCAGATGGAGGTAAGTTACAACATTCTGAAACTCTGAGATCAAGAGGAAAAACTCTGAGAGCCAATAAATCAGCATTGTGACGACTGACTATTAATCCAGTCAGATCTACTGTTATCTCAACCCTTTGTGCCACACGTTGGGCGCCAAAAAGAACTGTTGTGGTTTAAACCCAGTCAGGTAACTTGTTCACTCACTCTCCCCCTTCTTTCCCTACCCCTACTCCCAGAGGGACGGAGAGGAGAATCAAAAAGAATGCAACTCCCACGGGTTGAGATAAGAACAGTTTAGTAACTAAGGTATAACACAAATCACTACTGCTACCACCAATAATAACAATGATAAAGGAAATAACAAGGGAAGAGAATACAACACCTCACCACCAACTGACTGATAACTCACCCCCCCAGCCCGACCAAGCACCGACCGATACCTCCTCCAACCCTGCAGTCCCCCAGCCCTTCCGGCTAACTCCCAGTTACATCCTGGGCATGCCGTGCTGTGGTATGGAATACCTCTTTGGTCAGTTTGGGTCAGGTGTCCTGTCTCTGCTTCCTCCTGGCTTCCCCTCCTCCCTGGCAGAGCATGAGGCTCACAAAGTCCTTGGCCAAACCAAAACATTCTTGTTATCAGCTCTGTTCCCAAGCCGAAAGTCAAAACACTGCACTGCACCAGCTACCAAGAAGGAGAAAAATGACTGCTACTGCTGAACCCAGGACACTGACAAAAGGTAAGGCAGTCACTTGCCACCATCTGCTCACATGCTGTCCTGGGTTCAGCAGCAGCAGTCATGTTTCTCCTTCGTGGTAGCTGGTGCAGTGCTGTGTTTTGACTTCCAGCCTGGGAACAGTGCTGGTGATACCGATGTTTTCCGTTGTTGCTAAGTGATGTTTACCCTGACCAAGGACTTTGTGAGCCTCATGCTCTGCCAGGGAGGAGGGGAAGCCGTGAGGAAGCAGAGACGGAGTGCCTGACCCAGGCTAGCCAAAGAGGTATTCCATACCACAGCACGTCATGCCCGGGGTGGGGGGTAACTGGGAGTTACCCGGAAGGACACGGGCTTCCGGGTGGGACTCGTTTCTTGGCCAGTGGTATCGTATTCTCTTCCCTTGTTATTTTCTCTTATCATTGTTGGTAGTAGCGGTGGTGATTTGTATTGTACATTGGTTGCTGGACTGTTCTTGTCTCAACCCGTGGGAGTTGCACTCTTTGGATCCTCCTCCCCATTCCTCTGGGAGCGGGGAAGGGGAGAGCCCCGGGTGGGGGGGCCTCGATTGCTCTTCAGCCCGGCACCACTCACTGGGAGTGAGTGAACAACTGTCTGGCTAGGGTTTAAACCACGACACATGCACAGCTGAACAGGTCCTGGTAGAAGCTACCCAAGGAATGTAGTTCCTCTTTAGCGACCAATTCATCAGGTGTCACAGAGCTCTGTCAGCAGACCTTGTGAGGGAATGGTAAAATTGCTTCTTGCAACACATCCACCATAAATTAACAGCCAGTCCAGCCATACACAAGAAGCCCGAGTTCAGATTATATGGTGTATGCAACCTAAATATTCGTGTTCAAAATTATTTCCTCATTCTTCAGCAGTGTTATGACTGAAACACATTCTTCCTCAATGTTGCTATCACTACAATACAACTGAAAATAAAGGCTAATAACTAGTAGCCACATCTACAGGAAATGCATAATCAAAAGTTAATTAATGTTCAAGTTCATCCTGTAATCATAGATTATATTGACTATAACGTAAGTAGCTCATACAAGTTACTTCGGA